TCTGTAGTTTCCACACTCAGTTGGGTCACCCTTCTTTGGGATGGGAACAAATATAGATCTCTTCCAGTCAGTTGGCCAAGTGGTTGTTCTCCAGATATATCAAATGTGTCTCTTATTAAGACCAAAATTTATTAGTAATGACCAATTAAAAAATAAACTCAAAGGTGAGGTTCTAAGTTTTTGTTAAGGGTGATAAAAGTACAGAAATTGATAGTAATAACTGTACAGCACAATGTATATAATAAATGTCCCAGAACTGTAAACATTATTAAAGTGTTCAAATGAAATGTTTGTTGTACTTTTACAATGAAAGATAAAAAACAAAATGCTCCTAAATAAGTTTAGTTGTAATTCTAACAGGGTGTTCAAGTAATCCACAAGAAAGGGGGGAATCAAACCAAAAGGAAACGAAACAAAATGGTAAGCTTAAACCGTGATAAATCAATAATTATATTTTAAGATCTCAATACACCAATTAAAAGGCAAAGAGTAGCAGTTATGATCTTTTAGTAAATCCAACACGCTATATAGAAAATATTCATTTAAAATGTAGGCAAGCTGAAAAAAAGGTCATAGCAGATATTTCCTGCAAACATTAAATAAAAACCAATAGGAACTATTTTATATCAAATACACTAGACCTGAAAAAATTCTCAGAAACAGACACTATATATAATGATCAATGTCAAAACACTAAGAAATCAGTAATTCTAAATATATATGTATAAAAAAGATTTCAAAAATGTAGCAGAAATAAAAAGAGAAGGACCGCTACACAATTGCCATTTAAAGACATCAATATCCTTCTTTCATCAATTAATAAGAATTTTATGGGAAATCAATCAGGATACAGAATTAAAAACATCAACACAAAAAATATAAATGACATTTACAGAACACTGCTCCAAACCAGAATACACATCATTTACAAGTGTCCACAAAGCATATACCAAGGGAGACTTTATCCTAGGCCACAAAACATACCTCAAACCACTTAAAAGAACTGAAATCATAGTGTATTCTCCAGCCACAGTGTAATCACACTAGAAATCAGTATCAAAAACAAAGGGGAAAATCCCCAAATCCTTGGTTAGAAAAGACACTTCTAAATAATGCACAGGTCAAAGAGAGTATTTCGTGACACATTTAACACTGAAAACTTGTCTTAGATAAGGACGAGGAAAATAAAAGTAAAGCAGAAAGAAATAATAAGAACAGACATCAATGACATGGAAAAGAGGAAAACAAATAGCTGGTTCTTTGAAAAGACCAATAGCACCACAGATACAGCGGAAACCCAGGGAATTAGAAAATAAATACTGCAATAATCTGCATTTTATTAGACAACTGAGATGGCAGGGGCCATTTCTTGAAGTAACCAAACTATTACAAATAACCCTAAACAAAATATTCACTTTTCATTGTACTGTAAATATTAAGAGGGCACAATGGTAACAATGGTTAAAAGTTTTAACAGAAAGGTTGAAGGTTGGAATCCACACAGCTCCACCAGAAAAAAGAACAGGTTGACCTACTTCCGTAAAGATTCCAGCCTAAAACCCCACTTTGCAGTTCCTCTGGCATTTTCACCCGTTTCGTTGCTTCTCCACCCGTAGGGAAATGCAATAATGCCAGAAAATAGTAGGAACTTACTTATCAAATGAGTGAGTTGAATGAATAAATAATAGAAAAGCAAGAAACGACTAAGTAGGGAGGGCCACATTGCAAGTGGGGGTGAACCTGCCTCTCAAATCAATTAAGAGGTGAAGCAGCTTGGTCGTAACTGGAGCTTTAAAAAGATCAAATAACAGGAATACATCTGCTGAATCCTAACCTAAATCCTGCTTTATGTCCTAATATTCTCTTAAAGTTCCATTTCTTTAATATTTGTGTAAGCTAAGTATTGCTATTTTTCAGTTGCTTCCCATACATCTGAAAATGGGACATTGAGTCATGATGACAGAAGAATCAGTATTTTGAACTGTGGTGCTGGCAAAGAATACTGAATATCCCATGGAATGCCAAAAAAACCAGACACATCCAGCTTGAAGGAAGGGCAAGCAGAACGGTCTTTATAGGCAAGTACAGTGAAACTCCAACTCACTCTGGCATACTTTCAGGAGGAGCCAGTCCTTGGAAAAGGACATCTGCTGGGGAAAGCAGAGTCAGCTAGAGAGGAAGGCTGGCCTGATACAGTCACTACCATGATGGGCTTGAGCATGACAGGGATAAGGAGGATGACGAAGGATAGAGGTCAGACCTTTTGTACATATATCACTAGGCGTCATAACAAACTTGATGGGCCCATAACAACTAACAACAGGTGCTGTATAGGTTGTTGGTACTGGATGCCATCAAATGGATTCCAACTGAAAGCAACTCTATGTGACAGAGCAGAACCCCCCTAAAAGGTTCTTGGTTGAAATTTTTATGAGAGTAAATCATCATGTCTTTCTCTCAGTTACTGGGGAGTGCAAATCTTGTGATCGGCAGGCAAGTGTTTAAATCTTTTGCCATCAGGACATTAATGCACTGACAAATGAAAGGTCATCTAGTCCCACCTACCAAGTGCTCTCCACAAAAAAGATGGGCAAGTCTCTTCCTATACATATTTATAGCCTCAGAAACCCAGGGGAGGGGGTCTACAGTCAGAAGAGACTTAGTGGAAGTGGGTCTAGTTTTTTGCTTTTTCTGGTTTCTGATCCATAAAACATCTAAGTGATTTGCCCAGAGACACATAAGTGCAAGGGGGAAAATAGACAGCCATACTGGTCTAACGTTTAAAAAAAACCCAAAACACACACACACACACACACACACACACACTACTAGTTCAATATAATCACCAATGGCTAGCATATATTAACGAAGTATTTCATGAATTTAAGTGTACATTTTCTAAAGAACCATACTTTCCAACAGCCATGAAAAGTCAAGTAAGTACCTTAGTTGATGTCTGGTCATACTGTGCTGTTGTTCTCACAAGTTCATCCCTAGTTTTGTTCAAAACTTTCTCTTTTTCAATTAATTCCACTTTAGCTGTCTCCAGCTGAAGGTGCAGTTCTTGAAACTTATTCACTTGGCTCTTCATTTCTTTTTCTTGTCCTTGTAGACGTAGCTGCAAGTCATTAACTTGGTTTCTTAGTTCTAAAATCACAAACAAAAACCACACTTCAATCAAGTTAATTTATTTATAAAATGAAAGAGTATCATTTCTTTTACTACCTGGCCCTGAAATCTTCAGTAAGAAAAAAGAAAATCAGTTTACATTAAACATATTTACTTTAACTAGTTTTTAACTAAGTGTTTAATCACTGTTGCTATTTGCATTCAAATATCCTACAGAAAACAGGTAAAAGATTTTCTTGCTATTTCACTGAAATTTGAAGGAGAAAAAAACACTTTTCTAATACTGCATTCTACATTCACATTCTCGATTAAAATTATCATTGGCTTTATATACTGGCAGAATGACATTTGATTTATGCCCATAAGAAAGCAAATTAGTTCTAAGCAATGAAAAAAAAAAAAGTACACATCATTCCCTTACTTTCTCTGGTAGATTCACTTCCGATAAAGATCAACGCAGTGTGAACCTCCCACACTGCCAAAATGAACAATGATCCCCCCCCCCCCGTGCCTCCAACTCAACACACATATAGTGCTGTGGCAACTCTCACCAGCAAACACGGACAGTGACTTTCAATACATCATAGGCCTGGAAATTATCATACTCTGCAGAGGTGATTCCAGAACACCACCTGGTACCCTTGGCTGTGAGCTGCAGCATGGCACAGCAGCCATGGTTACAGGTCTGATCCCATATGGACAAGCTGGCATCATAGAGCAAAGCTGTTCTGCAGACACGTGCAACACTGCTGGCCAACACTGCTCAGATCACAGGGTTATAGAAACAGGCAAATGAGAAGTGTGAGGCCTGCTAATGCTAACCACTCTATCTGTCCAGATCCTAGAAACAGAAGTGAATGCCCCTAGTCCTACTTGTGAAGGCTTTAGGACACCAGCTTTTCTCAGTATGTTCCAAAACTGTGCTATCTTATACCCTTTATTAAAGTAGACAGTATTTCTCAGTACCAGTCTGAAATGTTGACCACTGATGCATACAACAAAACACATCGGCCCTTTCTAAGACTAAAATAGTCTCAACCTGCCTATTAAATTGTGTCAGGAAAATATACTTTAAACTTGGTTTAAAGTTACCTTGATTCTGGGCTTTCAGTTGATCCAGTACATGCAAATTGCTGGAGTTATCACAGAAGCTGCTATTCACATCACCCTTCGCCATCTGAGAGGCCGGTCTACTTGGAGTCACCTCTTGTTCCCCATCAAAGAGAGATGCAGAGAAATTTCTACTGGGAACTTTCCGAGCACGACTTGGGGTCTTCTCTTGTTGCCATGAGAACACAGAAGACGAAGTCTGTTGTCGTGCAATCTCTCGGTGACTCATGGTGTTATGTGAGAGAGCAGGGCTTGCCTTCTGCAAAAACAGAAAACTCAATATTCAAGGCTGTACATTTTTAGGTAAAACATAAAGCCATAAAGAAAAAAAGTTAGCACTCCTACTAAGCACCAAGAAAGAAGAATGTTCCATATCACAACATGAATGAACCTTGAAAACATTACACTGAGTTATCTAAAGTCAGTCACAAAAGGACAAGTACTCGATGATCTCATCTACATAAAATGAGTGGCCTTTCACTAATATTAATAAAATTAAAAAAAAAAAAATCTCTGCTGTAATCCCAAAGGCATATATTTCAAACCCACCACCAGTTGATCTGTAGAAAGATGGGTAATCTCCTTTGGTGCAATTAACTGTCTCTGAAAATCCACTGGAGGGTCAGCTATGACTCAGTTCCGATTCTAGGGCATACAACAACATAAACAAAAGCTTACTAATGATTACTAATATGAGGGAATCACTAGTTAAATCTATGTTAATGGTGGTAGAATAAGGGAAATGATAATGATTGCATGCACAGAAAGCTCAGCTGGCCTAACAGGATAGAAGCTGCACTACCAACCCAAAAGCTGGTTTGAATTCACTAAGTGCTCTGCAGAACAAAAACAATATCCTCCTATGCAATTTACAACCTCTGAAAAACCTGCTGGGAGGTCAGCTAGTAGTCGGTTCCACTTCCTAAATAACATGCCTCCAGAAACTCTATGAACTTTGATAAATCGATGGTTGTAGAGGAGTTTCAAGCCTTTTGTTCACAGGGTTGCTATGAGACGTGCTGGACTCGAAGGCAATCAACAAGAACAAACAACAAAAATTACTAAAGTGTTGAATGCCTTGCTGTATATATTGTCATCTAATTTTAGAAGTTTATAAACTGTTAAAAAACATTGTTAAGGCTTCCACCATCTTTCCATCCCTCAGTCAGACGGGACCCAGAGACGCTTCTGGAAGAACCATCCCAATGGCCGCCCAAGGAGAACCCCAAGTCCAATTCAAACTCGTGTTGGTGGGTGATGGTGGTACTGGCAAAACAACGTTCGTGAAACGTCATCTGACTGGTGAATTCGAGAAGTATGTATCCACCTTGGGTGTGGAAGTCCATCCTCTCGTGTTTCACACCAAAAGAGGACCGATTAAATTCAATGTGTGGGATACAGCTGGCCAAGAAAAATTTGGGGGACTGAGGGATGGCTATCAAATCCAAGCCCAGTGTGCCATTATAATGTTTGATTTAACATCGAGAGTTACCTACAAGAACGTGCCTAACTGGCATAGAGATCTGGTTCGAGTATGTGAAAACATCCCCATTGTGTTGTGTGGCAATAAAGTGGACATTAAGGAGAGGAAAGTTAAGGCAAAATCTGTCGTTTTCCACCGAAAGAAGAATCTTCAGTACTATGATATTTCTGCCAAAAGTAACTACAACTTTGAAAAGCCTTTCCTTTGGCTTGCTAGAAAACTAACTGGAGACCCTAACTTGGAGTTTGTTGCCATGCCTGCTCTTGCTCCACCAGAAGTTGTCATGGACCCAGCTTTGGCAGCACAATATGAGCATGATTTAGAGGTTGCACAGACAACTGCTCTCCCGGACAAGGATGACGATCTGTGAGAGAACGAAGCTGGAGCCCAGTGTCAGAAGTCTAGTTTTATAGGCAACTGTCCTGTGATGTCAGTAGTGCCGTGTGTTTGCACTTTATTATCTAGCTAAGCAGAACATGTGCTAATCTTTGGGATGCTGAAGGAAAGATGAATGGGCTTCGGAGTGAGTGTGGCAGTTAAAAGAACCCTTCATTTTTTGGACCTGCATATTTAGCTGTTTTGGAAGGCAGTTTCCTTCTTGAGTTTCAAATACAAGACTGCTACAGTCAAATCACAATATTCCGTGGTAAAATCTTGTTAAAAAAAAAATCTTGTTTGTTACTGTCATTCCCATTCTTTCGTTTAGAACCAGAATAAAGCTGTATTTCAAATATCAAAAAAAAAAAATTGTTAAAAGAAAAAGAGCACTCATCAAGTTAATGGAACCCGCAAACTCTAAAATCCAGTCACAGAACTTTCTAAGAGTCACATTTTCAAGTGGTTATTATGCCAGCACTAATTGGGGCTTAAATGAATAAACACATCTGTCTTGAAGGAAGTGCAACCAGGCTCTTTAAGAGGCAAAGATCATGAAACTCCTCCTCACACACTTTTTGAGGTGTGATCAGGAGGGGTCAGTCCTTGGGAAAAGACATGCTCGGAAAGACAGGGGGGTCAGCAGAAGACCTTCAATGAGATGGGACAGCAGGGTGACTTTATCAATGGGCTTGAGCATGCTGCAGATCATGAGGGTGCACAAAACAGGACAAGGTTCAGATCTATACTTCGCAGGGCTATTTTTAGTTAGAGTCAAGGATGGCACCTAGTAAGTTTTACTATTTATTCTGCAGCTTTCATATACTCCATTCAGCCTGAGTACTCATTGCCAAAATGAATTCCTACACGGCTTCCTTTGACTATCACAAGTCACATTCCCCTGGCCTGTAGCTTTGCACAAAAGCAGAAATTCAGTTTTCAGCCTAGAGAATACTTTCAAAAAATTCACCTCAAGAAGTGTTACACAAGGCATTTTATAACATATCCTATATACAAGCGTGCATTATCAGATCCTCTGAATTATCCGTAAATATACTGCCTTACATTTCGTGCAGTAAGATTTTCCTGCCACAGCAAGAGGCTTAATGTTTACGGAGCCTCATGTGTCTCCATAAAAAAAACTGGTAATCAATGTTGGTGGAAAACGTACAAGTGATTAGCACAAAGAACAAAGCCCATGGGATTTCTAGAACAAACAATATAAGAATTTTGTCTTTTGCTAAGCAATGCCTTTGCTAAATATCAGAATTCCAAGAACTTTAAAACAAAAGTAGTAAAAACATAAAAATAACTTAAAGTTGTTAATATTCCAACACATTGGTGGCTATTAACCTTAAATATTTACTGGCTCTACTTATAAATACAACATAAAATTGTTGCTAAATTGGGCTTATCTTATTCTTATCTGTAGCACAAATGTTGTCATTAAGTGTCAAACATATTCACTCAAAAGTTCAAACTATCACATTGGTTCCAATGTATAGGGACCATCCAGAAACAGGGTAAGACTGTCCATCTTTCACCTGAGGAGCCCCTGGTGGATCTGAACTGACTTTAGTTCAACAGGGCAATTCACTCTATGACTACACACAAGGATTCATTACTATTCAGGATCCAAGAGGACAGAAATTAGACAAAATGTACAGTCATGGTATACACACAGAATCTCAAGAATTTTGAAGATTCAGCCCTGAACTGTAAAGGAGGGGTTTTTAAAAAACTTTATTTCTTTTGTTGACAATAAGAAAAATCTCTTCCTCTTTACTTCTTTACTCATACTAAAAAATGAAATTTAACACTCTTAGTAGCAGCATGACCAAATTCAAACCTCAAGTTGCTATAATCAAGGATGCTTTACTCAGAATATGAAATGATCCAGGAAGTATTAAAAGATGATGGAAGGAATATACTGAGTCACTGGATCGAAAGGAATTGGCAGATACAGAAGAATTTATTGAAATAATATTTGAGCTAGAGCCTATGGTGAAGGAGGAAGAAGTTCAAGCTTCTTTGAAGAAAACAGCAAAAAATAAGGCCCCAGGAATAAATGGTATACCAATTAATGTATTTCAACTAACAGATGCTTCCCTAAACCTGCTCACCAAGTTGTGACAAGAAATCTGAAGAACAACCACTTAGCCAACTGACTGGAAGAGATCTATATTTGTTCCCATTCCAAAGAGGGGTGACCCAACAAAGTGTGGAAACGACAGGACAATATCATTGATTTCACATGCAAGCAAGATTCTACCAAAGACTATCCAAAAACGATTGGAACAGCACATCAGCAGAGAACTGCCGGAAGTCCAGGCTGGGCTTAGAAGGGGTTGTGGTACTAGAGATCTTGTAGCTGATGTTAGATGGATATTAGCTGAAAGCAAGGAATACCAGAAGAATGTGTATCTGTGTTTCATTGATTATGCAAAGGCGTTTGACTGTGTGGATCATAA